AGTGCTAACGAGAACTGACCAGGGGAAAATGTAAGGTCAGATCTCGTCGGCACTGCGTGAAGCCAATCTCCAGCCCCCACTCCATTCAGACTGACTAGCCTGGCCCCATATCCGCCAGCAGCTCTCTCGCCCGTGCCATGTTGATGTGCTTGGATAGAAGCAGCTGCAGATTTCCCTGTCCCTGCGGTCCCTCCCTGTAGGTTTGCAGTGCTGTCTTTGCCTCATCCGGTAGGTCCTCTTCCAGCGCCACTAGCACATTGTCCGCTGGAGAATGGTCCCCGTGGAGGCGGGCGCAGCTCTACTCTCTCCTAGACGCGTGCGGCATACGCCACCCCCGGGGCGAGTCAGAGGAAAGAAGGGTCTGGGACCAAGCCTCGCTTCCTCCAAGCCTGGGGGGCCTGGGCCTGACTGACCCAGCAATTGAAGAGCGCTACAGCTTCCTCCGAGCGTCGCGCAAGCACACGCTCTGCTGGGCGCCCTGCCGGGCCTGGCAGCAAAATCCCTAGCAGCTGCTCTCTCAGACTTCATAGACCCGCCTCACCTGGACGAGCTACAGGCCTGGAACCGCAGCTGCAAGGATAGCCTTTCACAGGAGGGCCGCGACCTCCTCACCTCTGAGCTCTCCGCACCCATCGGCAACCTGCAGCACCGTCTAGCAATCCTCGTTCAGGGCGGGCGTAGCGCGGCACAGATCATGGCATCACGACAAATAGAGTTGAACCCGCTCAAAGGCCACCCAATGACTCTTGTCCCTTACAGGATACGGCGCTCGGGATTGGCTCCTGGCAATCCCGTACGTGCCCCCCCTCTGGCTCGGACCCGAGCACTTCACCTTCGCCTTACAGTTCCGGCTAGGACTGCCCCTACCATACCCCGACCACTGCGACTGCACCAACGGTACAGCTATCCTAGACAAGCGCCTGCCCAACCATCTACTACGCTAAGGCACAGAACACGGGCGGACAATCACACAAAATGAGCTGCGGGATGAATGTATCCGAATGGCGCAGGACGCGGGGTTCATGGTGCATAAGGAGTGCACCGCATTCAGCCCAGTCGACAACATGAAAGCCGACCTAACCATAATGGATCGGAGCTTAGGGGCCGTCTGGCTGGGGGACATCACTATCACCGATCCTATCAGCACTCGTGATGAGACGGCGAGGAAGGGAAGGGCCTGGGCGGCAAGGGAACGGCGCCCCTCCAGGTCTGCGCCCCTTCCCGGTGCAGGTCGGCTGCACCTCCCTCACACCCGACCACGAAGTCGGCTCCGCCCAAGCGAGGACGGGTCCAACAACGCAACTCCCATTGACACTCCCTGCCGCGTTCACGCTTGGGACCTCCACCCCACACGGCAGCACTACTCGGAGAATAGCTCGACGTGCACACAACACACAGCACGCCGGTCACCGCACCAGCCATGCAAGAGGGCATGGCACCTACTTCTGCACGTCGTCATCACCGTCGCCGACGTCGGCCAAGCGCACTTGGCCGATTGCGACGGAGCACCAGTTGAAGGCCGGATAGTGCAGCGCCTTCGTCAGGAAGTCGGCCGGCTGCTCGGTGGTCGGGATGTACTTCAGCATGACCCGCGCTTCACCATGTGCTGCAGCCAGGCATATCGCTGCTCCATGTGCTTGAGGATGCCCTGCAGCCCCAAGCCCTCGGTGACCGTGATGGCCGACTTGTTGTCCACCCGAAGGACGGTCGGCGTCCCGACGTCCAGCAGCCGGAACTCTGCAAGGAAGAAACAAATTTGGCGTCCCTCCTTGCCAGCCTCGGATGCCGTCACGTACTTCGACTCGGTAGACGACAGCGTCGCGTACTTGGTGCGCTGGCTCGACCAGGAGACTGCGGCCCCGCCAAAGACGAACACGTAGCCGCCCATGCTTGTCCTGTTCTGCTTGTCGCCGGCGTCGCCGGCGTCTACGTAGCCGACGAGCTCCAGCGTCTCTAGGGCGGTGTCACGAGTGTTGGCGTGGTAGGCGAGGCAGTGGTCGACCTCGCGCCAGTGCTGGTCGCTCCTCACCATGAGGCTGCTCCCCAGCTTGCTGCAGCGGAAGGCGATGTCCGGCCTCGTCGTCGTCGCCGCGAACTGCAGCGAGCCGACTTTCTGCCGGTACTCCTCCTCCTGGCGCTCCTGTGCCTCCTCTTCGTCGAACGTCAGCTCGGCGTAGGCGTCAAGGGACACCGGCGTCTTCGGGGTGCGCCCGGTCTGCTCCTCGTCGAGAGGCTCATACAGGCTCATACAGGCTCTTCAGCAGCTTGCACACCAGGCCAGGCCCGTCGTTGTAGTAGTCTGGCTGGTACATGTACAACACTCGGTCCAGCTTTCTCTGGAGGAAGGCGTTCTTCATGTCGAGCTGCATCAAGTGCAAGTCGAGGACGGCGACGATGCTGAGGAAGATCTTCAGCATGACGTAGCTGCTCACCGGCGCGTACGTCTCGTCGTAGTCGGCGCCATACACCTGCATGAAGCCCTTCACGACCAGCCTCGCCTTCTCCCGGGCGACCGTGTCGTCGATGTGGTACTTCGTCATCAGCACCCACCGGTTCTTCATGATGTTCACACCGCGCGGGCGTTCGACCAGCTCCCACGTGCCCATGCCGATGAGGCCGCCATGGACAAGGGTCCATGGCGGCCTTCACCGCCTTGCCCTTCCAGCTCGCGAACGCCTCCTTCACCGTCATCGTGGCGATGTCCAAACGGTGCTCGGGGTCGGCGTGCATGTCTTAGTCGAGCTCTGGCAGGTCGACGTCATCCTCGGCGTCGCCGTACGCCAAGTCGTCGTCGTCGTACAGCATGGTGTAGGCAGCCGGCGGCAGGCACGCATGGTAGGACAGGAAGTCAGGCGGCCTCTGGACTCTGCCTGAACGCTGTGGTCTAGGCGGGACCTCCTTCACGTCGTTGTCAGTGGACTTATCGGTGCCCGACTTCTCCCCTCTATCGTCACCGGCTTCGCTGCCTCGACGTCTTGCTGCACCATAGTCGGCGTCCCTGCGGACTGCTCCCCTATGGTCGGCTCCCCTGCCGACTGCCCGGTCGCCGACTGCTCCTTGATCGGCTTCACTGCTGGCTGTTCCCTTGCAGCCGGCTCCCCTGCCGACGTCTCCTTCGCCGGCTCCACCAAGGTCGGCTGCACCTCCTCTGCCTGCTGCTCCGCTGTCAGCGTCAACTTCTTCCCCAAGCCGACTGGCTTGGCGTCACGTCGGCCACCGGCGATGCTCTTGGCCAGCGCCACAGGCGACGTCCCACTGCTCCCCTCATCGCCGGAGGCCGACTCCGGAGTCAGCCCACGCAGGTCGGCTACAAGGGGAGGGGCAGGAGAAGGGGAAAGAGGGCAGACGGCCTCGACGTCCTCATCAGCAAGCTCACCGACCTGCGTCCGCCCCGACGCTGGCCCATGCTCCGACTTCCACACCTCCAGCGACATGGTTTCGTAGAACACCACGTCCGACGTGGTGACCACCCGGTTGTCGGTGATGGCGAGGAGCTCCCACACCCATGCCAGCGACAAGTCGGGCTTCTTCCCGGTGAGCAGCTGGTACGGCGTCGTCCTCCGCGGCAGCGTCAACCTCTCAAGTCAGTTGCGGACCTAGACGGCCTGGCGCAGGGCGAGGTGTGACCAGTGGTGTTGCAATCCCATATGCAGCAGCATCATCCGCACTGACTCTACCACCGTCCGCATCTCTCGCTCCGCCATGCCATTCTGCTGCGGGGTGTACGGGCAGGTCAAGTCGTGGACGATCCCCTTATCGTCCACGAGGGCGGTGCACTCCTTCCCGAGGAACTCCCCTCCCCAGTCAGAGCGCAGCATCAGCACCGACTTCTTCGTCTGCCGCTCAACCACCACCAGCCACTTCCCGAACTCTCGCAGCACGTGAGACTTCTTGGCGACCGGCCTCACCCACACGAAGCGGGTCTTGCGGTCCGTCAGCAGCAAGAAGTACAGGCTCCCGTCCTTGGCAGTCACCCGAAACGACCCGCACAAGTCGATGTGCACGACGGCCAGAGCATCGTTGGCGTCCGAGCCCTTGTCGAGGAAGGTGTGCCGCGTCAGCTTCCCGCCGACGCACGAGACACACGGACAGTCGGTGCCGGCCGGCGGCTTGATGTTCAGGCCGGTGGCGACCTCATGCTTCGCTGAGCTCGTGATGGTGTCGACGCCGACATGCGCAAGCCTCGCGTGCCACCTTGCTGGCGTCGACTTCGTCGCAGAGACTATCGCCCGCAGAGCTACCACCTCCGTCGTGGGCGTCGTCGACTTCGCCGAGCAGGGACGAAGGTCGGAGCAGAGGATCCGGCCGGTATGCGTCGCCCGACCGAGCACGTCCCCCGCCGCCGAGACGAGCAGCATCCTGTCACTGTCATCCTGCAGCTTCACGCCGCTCTCCTTCAGCTGCCCTTCAAACGGCAGGTTCGCCTGCACGCGCGGGACATAGAGCACGTCGGGGATGAGCACCTACCTCCCGGCCTCCCCTTGCAAGGCGACTGTGCCCTAGCCCTGGACGTCCTGCAGCGCCCCATTGAAGCCGCGCACGTGCTTGACGTCGCCGCTCGGCTGCAAGTCGACGAAGGCATCCTTCGTCCCCATCAGGTGGTGCGAGCAGCCGCTATCGAGCAAGACCACCGCCGGGTTCGCTTGCACAGCTGCCACCACCGCCTGGAAGTTCTCGCCGGCTTCCGGTGCCAGCGAGACGGTCGGCTCCACGACGCCGACCAGCGAGCACGACGCCTCCTTGTCGCCTCGCCCTTTGCCGCCAGAGGAGGAGTCGGCGTCCTTCGCCGAGGTCGACGACTTGGTCAACTGGTTCGGGAGGTGGTCGGAGGGTCAGCCTCGGCAGAAACTGAAGCATCATCCAGGCACCTTGACAGCCTGGATTATTTGCGAGTCGCAGAAGTGGGGCCAGGATGCATAGTGTGTAGCTGTCCAAGACAATAGGGGGAAGGCGGCGGACCAGGAAAGGTTGGTCCCCACGTTGGAGTCGTGCTGGGTCCCATGTGGCCGCGAGCTGCCATATGGAGTCATCTCCCGCGATTTCGGATGGTGAGCGGGCACTAGGTCCACTCGGTATCCCGGTTGCCAAACCTGGTATCTCTGCATCTGCATCTGCATCTGCATCTGCATCTGCAGCTTGGTTTTCCCCACCAATTCCTGTTCCTGCTCCTCCTCTTCTCCGAACCTCCTTGGTCCTTCCCTCAGCCTCGTCCTCCTGGGAACACTCTTCAGAGGCATGCTCTGGCGAGGCTACATAGTCCCCCCAGGCGCTTGAAACCTCAGATCTCGTCGCCTCCTGATTCGTCGGTGGCGCTGCCTGCTCTGGACGATCGTGGCGTTCCCGCCACGTTCCCGATCTCACTAGCGTCACCCTTCCGCCAACGACCGCGCCTCTTCCCCCTCTTGCCCCTCGTCCTCCACCTCTGGCTCCACGAGCCGTTGCGCCTCCCCTGGCTCGGTTCTCAGTGCTCCGCCCGCCCTGCTCCGCCTGTAGCGCTCTACCCGCCGGGATCCACGGCGAGTTTACTAGGCTCGACTGGCCTGCTCTCGGCTGGCCCCAGGTAAACCCCCGTGCCCTTGTGGAGCTCCGCGTTTCCTGCCGTGTTTGGTGTCGTTCTTGCCTGCCTGATGCTTGTCTCTCCCCCGTTACCCCCATTGTCTGCGTCCACAGGTGGAGGTTGATGCTCTCGCGATTGTGGCGTCTGCCCTTGCAGAAGCCATCCTAGGAAGGGCCCAGGGGGACGAGGTGCCAGCGTTGCTCCGAGCCGCCCAGGTGTTGGCCGGGCGCGGAGCCTCGCGCTCTTTCCGCGAGCAGCGCGCGCGCCGTCGCGGGTCCCTTGAGGCCGTGTATCACTCTCCTCCTGGTCGTGCCTCCTTGTTCCTTCGTCCCCGGCAGGAGCAGCTGTTTCGGCGAACTGAGCGTCTGTCGTTTCGCCCACCTCGGCCTGGTCCTCGCGTTGCACCTCCGCCACTTCCTCCACTGCAACCTCAGCTCCAAGCGCAGCCCCAGCTGCCGCTTCCACAGCCTCAGCTGCCGCAGCAGCATCAGCAGCCCCCGCCTCCACCCGTCGCTGTTCCTCCTCCGCCTATTCCGGCGTTGCCACCCCCGCAGGCATCTCGGCAGCCAGCTCCGGTGCAACCGCTGGTACCACCGGCGCACCCACCACCACCTCCTGCGGCTGCTATGCCGACGGTCTCGGTGATGCCTCCATGGCAGCAGGTAAAGATGAGCCGTTGCCAGAGGCAACAGCGATCTCAACAGCCGCCTCCTCCTCTGCGACAGCCTCCGCCCCAACAGGGCTTTGTGCCTCCTCCGGTGCTCGTTCCGCCGACCCCGAGCCTGGTTCCGTAGTTGTTACAGCCGCCACTGGCATGCCAGCAACAGCCACAGCCGGTTCTTCAGAGCCTTCTTCTCAGGTGCTGCCGGTGTTATACGGTCCGCCTGCGGAACCTCCGCCTGCTCCTGGTCCCCCTCCCACCGAGTCCCCCGCTGTCCACCCCTTTTCCCAGGGCTCGTACCCACAGCTATTTCTTGGGGGGCGCAAGATTCCGATACCTTGTGAGGCCCTGCCAACTCCCCCGCCGACTTCTGCACCTGCAGCCACCCCTGGCGAGGCATTTGACTCGCATTGGAGTCGGTGGGGCGAGTGCACGCCTGTCGAGCGACTTCTCCGTGTCGAGCAGCGCGTAATGCTCGTGGCGTCTTCTCTGGGCATGGTGGCGATGGTGCTTGATCAGCTGCAGGCATGCTTGGGCCCGTAACTCTGTTGCTTGCCAACCACTATTGCAGGAGGAGCGGGCGACTGTCGTGGCGGCAGCGAAGGAGATTCTGCATACGCTCCCGCAGATTGATCTTGTGGCCGGCTCCCCTGGGGCTGGCTCTGGTCCTGCCTTCCGCTGTGAGGTGGTTGGCTTCTTCAGCCCGGTGAGCCCCGCTTGACCTTGTACCAGCCGCCGCATCCGTGTTGCGCTGGATGGACGGGCGACTAGTTTGGATCCTTGTCGAATAGGAGCTTTCCCCTTGCCGACCTCCTTATCACTTGTCTCGGCATTGGGCTTCCCCATGGCGTTGTAGTCATGCCTTGGGGTGTTGTAGTGGTTGTTGATGTCTACTCCTGCATTGTGCAATGCTTCATGTTATAATCCTTGTTTCCCCTTGTCCTTGCCGCCCCTCACGCGCGCCGGTTTAGGAGAGTGAATGAACTCACCAGTGAAGAATGAGCTCTAGTGGCTGGATCTAGGGGCTTTATACTAAAGAAACAGGGCTAAAATCGGCTAAGGACTGGAACCTAGAGGAGAGGGGCCTAAAAACGGTTAAGGACAGAAACTAGGCCATCTCTCTCAAATGGTCCTGATATCGATAGGTTCGGAATACAAACATGCATCTCTCTCTCTCTCTCTCTCTCTCTCTCTCTCTCTCTCTCTCTCTCTCTCTCTCTCTCGCTCTCTCCCCATAGCCGCTGGGTTAGGAGAGTGAAATGAGCAAAGAACTGAAGTATGAGGCCCAATGCAGGCCCCTAGGGCCTTCATAGTACGGACATAGAGGGCTGAGAGGCTAAGGAAAAGGACGATCTGACTCTCTCTCTCAAGCAGTCCTTCATTGATAGGTTCATATGGGTACAGGCATGGCAGGAAGAGGTGCTAGACAGGCCTAGGCAATGAAGCAACCAAACATGCGAGGCAGGCACATGCGGCGGGCAGGACATCTGCAAACAGACAGGACGGCCAGGTGGGGCAACGCAAGGCAAGCACCGCGTGGGCGTTCGACCAGCTCCCAAGTCCCCATACCGATGAGGCTGCGTATCTCTTCTTCCATGGCGGCCTTCGCCGCCTCGCCCTTCCAGCTCGACAGTGCCTCCTTCACCGTCATCGTGGCGATGTCCCAGCGGTGTTCGGGGTCGGCATGCACGTCGGGGTCGAGCTCCGGCAGGTCTTCATCCTCCTCGGCGTACACCGTGGTGAAGGCAGCTGGCGGTAGGCAGGCATGGAAGCTCAGCCGCTCCGGTGGCCGTCGAGCTCGACCTGCGTGTCGCAGCTCAGGCTTCGTGATATGCACTTCCACCGCATCGCTCTCGGTGGACTCCTCACCCGCCGACTGCTCCCCTTCCTCGTCGACGTCCTCGTCGTCGACCAGCTGCTTGACCCTTCAACCGGCTGCTCGTCTGCCACTGACTTCGACAACTCCCCTGTCGACAGCACCCCTGCAGCCTCCTGTTCGACCGGCTCCCCTATCTGCTGCTCCCCTGTCGACGACGGTTTCCCATCCTGGTGGATGAGCTTGGCGCCTTGTCGACCGCCAGCGATGCCACGGGCCGGCGCCAAAGGCGACGCCTCACGGCTCCCCTCATCGCCGGTGGCCGACACAGGTGTCGACGCAGGCCGATCTGCGACGGGGGAGGGAGGAGCAAGAACAGGGGGAGGTGGAAGGACCTCCACAACATCATCATCCGTAGGCTCGTCGACTTCGGTGAGCAGCGGAACCGTCGCCGGCAAGGTGCCCGTCGGCGGGTGTGCCTGCGTCCGCCCCGACGCCGGCCCATACTTCGCCTTCCACACCTCCAGCGACAGCGTCTCGTAGAAGATCACCTCAACCGACGTGACCACCTTGTTGTTAGTCAGGCCGAGCACCTCCCAGCCCTTGCTTTCCTGCAATAAACCCAGGTGAAGCCCCCAACGAGCCATCGGCGCCAGCTTCCCACCGCGCTGCTGCTCGGGAACCATGAGCTGCACCATGCAGCCCCACACCCGCGCCAGCGTAAGGTCGGGCTTCTTCCCGGTCAGCAGCTGGTACGGAGTCGTCCCCGACGGCGTCGTCGACCGCTCCAAGCAGTTGCGCACCCAGACAGCCTGTCGAAGAGCGAGGTGCCACCAGAGGTGCTGCACGCCCATGTGCAGAAGCATCGTCCGCACGGACTCGACGACCGTGCGCATCTCCCGCTCAGCCATGCCGTTCTGCTGCGGAGTGTAGGGGCACGTGAGGTCGTGGACGATGCCCTTCCCGTCGACGAAGTCGGTAAACGCCTTCCCGAGGAACTCCCCTCCTCGATCGGAGCAAAGCGACAGCACCGACTTCTTCGTCTGTCGTTCCACCAGCACCAGCCACTTCTGGAACTCCCGCAGAACGTCGCTCTTCTTAGCGACCGGCATTGCCCACACGAACCGAGTGTGGCGATCCTTCAGCAGCAAGAAGTACAAGCTGCCATCCTTGGCAGCCACCCGAAATGGCCCGCACAAGTCAATGTGCACGACAGCCAGTGCCTCCTGGGCGTCCGAGCCCTTATCGGGGAAGGTGTGCCACGCCAGCTTTCCTCCGACGCACGAGACACACGGCGGGTCTGCTCCGGTCGACGGCGTGATGTCGAGCCCAACAGCAACTTCATGCTTCGCCGAGCTCTTGATCGTGTCGACGCCGACGTGCACGAGCCTCGCATGCAACCGGTCAGGGGTCGACGCCGTCGCCGAGACGATCGTCCGCAGAGCCACCACCTCGGTCGACGGCGACCGCGTCGAGCAGGGGCGAAGGTCGGTGCAGAGGACTCGTCCGGTGTAGCGTGCTCGACCGAGCACCTCCCCGGTCGAGGTGACAAGCAGCATCTCGTCGCCGTCGCCCTGCAGCTGCACTCCGCTCTCCTTCAGTTGGCCAGCTGAAAGGAGATTCGCCTGTACGCCCGGAACGTAGAGCACCTCGGGGATGAGGACCTGCTTCCCGGCCTCCCCTTGTAGAGCGACGGCTCCGCGACCCACGACAGGCTGCAGCGCCCCGTTAAATCCACGCACGCGCTTCACTTCGGCGCTCGGCGCCATGTCGACGAAGACCGCCTTCGTCCCCATCAGGTGGTGGGAGCACCCGCTGTCGAGCAGCACCGCCATCGGGTTGGCCTGCACAGCTGCCGCCACCACTTGGAAGTCCTCGCTAGCCTCCGGCGCCAGCGAGACCGTCGGCTCCACCACGCCGACCATCGAGCACGACGCCTCCCCGTCGCCTCGGCCCTTGCCGCTGGAGTTGTTGACGTCCTTCGTCGACAACGTCTTCTTCGACGCCTGCTTCTCCTTGCACAGCTTCTCATCTCGACGGGGGCGACGACTGGCCGATCGACCGCGGCCTCCATTGTTGTCGTCCTCGTCGCTGTCATCGAGGTCGGGGCACTCGAAGGAGAGATGGTCAGGGTCGCCGCAGATCCAGCACTCCCGCTGTCGACCACCACCTCGTCGGCCCTTGTCCCGCGTCGACCTCTTCTCGTCGACGTCCTTCGTTGACCGCCCACCTCCGCTACCACCTCCGCCTGGCTTCCCGCGCTGCTCCTGCTGACGATTCGGCTTCGTCGGTGCAGCGTAACTCGCCTGCGGAAGGAACTCCGTGGGCTGCTCTGCCTCCTGCATCGCCTCATCCTGGAGGATGTAGCTGGTAAGGGAGTCCTCATCGAGGGACTCACGTGTGCCGGGCACCATCGTAAACCGATTCATGAGGTTGTAGCTGCGTGGCTGTCCAGCGTTGCCCCGTAGAACACAGCACTGCGCAAGCTCGCAGGTGCGCGCAGACGATTGGCCCGACTTGCCTCGTTGGGCATCCGTCGGCTGTTGTCTGCGCCTGACGAGCCAGATCGACTTCGGGATACCAGCCCGCAGTCGCCTTCGCCATCGCAACCTCGACGACGTTCTCGTGCCATCGCAGAACTCGTCGAGCAGGTTACCCGGTCGACCTGGTCGACCCGCAGGTGCCTTGGTCGACCCCTAGGTGCTTCCGGTCGACCACTTGGTCCCTCTGGTCGACCACCAGGTGCCTCTAGTCGACCACAACTCCCGTCGAGCTACCCCCTGGTCGACGGACCCCTTCCGTCGACCAGAACCTTCAGCGGTTGTCGCCGAGCTCCCCTCGTCGACCGCTGCTCACTTGTCAGGTCGACGGACTGCTCCGTCGACCTCCCGGTCGAACTGCCCCCCCTGGTCGATGGCCCACCCGTCGCCCAGACCAGTCAGTTGCAGCTGTCAAGCTCCCTGGTCGACAGCAACACCACAGCGGTCCCCTGCAGCTCGACGAAGCATGTCGAGTAGCTCTCCCACTGTGAACGGTCGGCTGCTACTCCCGTACATCCGACCAAGTCGTCGGCGTTGCCCAAGCGAGGGCGGGGCCAACACTCCATTCCTGTTAACACTTACCACTTGCTGCGGATGACACCAAATCTGTATGGCATGCTTGCCAATATAGTAAATGTATGAATAATCAAGAGAAACCTCGTTGTTGATAGCAAACGGATGTCGATACGGCACCACGTGTCGAATAGGCCTATCCTTGCACAGTTTTCACTGCTCAATTGTTTGAAACACCATATCTCTTTACCACGTGCTGCGAATGACACCAAATCTGTCTGGCATGCTTGTTAATATAGTAAATGTTTGAATAATCAAGAGAAACCCCGTTATTGATAACAAACGGATGTCGATACTGTTATAGGCACAGTAGGCTTCAATGTGCCTAAACCGAAAGATAGAGTGCACAGTCGGATTTTTCCACAACGGCTTTAAACGTTCATAGCGATCTAATCACAGCTCCAAAGGACATGCTACAAGTTGGATCTGGAGTGTCGTCAAGTCGCCTACAATAGGCAATTTAGATCGCACGATTTCATTAGGAATTGACGACACGGCGTCGGTTTGAACGAACGACACTATGGCAGCAACATAGTCTTGGAACACAAGATAGGAAGAGTTAGGAAAAGTTACGAGTTGGGAATGACTCCCAGCTCCTACAAACCCCAAGAGCC